CGGACAACAGAAAAGTGGGTGAGGGGAGACGTCGGACAGTGTAAGATATGACAAAATAATAATTTATAAATTATCAATGGTTCATGAGGGAGTAGGGAGTGGCAAGGGAGGGAGGAAACTGAGGAACTGATTCCAGGGGCTTAAGTGTAGAGCAAATGTTTTGAGAATGATGAGGGTCATGAATGTACAAATGTGCTTTACACAATTGATGTATGTATGGGTTGTGATAAGAGTTGTATGAGGCCCTAATAAAATGATTTAAAAAAAGACAAATACAAGAAATATTTAAAGCAGTTTTATTTATAACAGCACTTCAAATGTATGTGCATGTAAATGAAAAGATCATTTTGAAAACATGAATATAAAGAAAGATTTTCAGATCAACAAATATAAACTGGATTATCATATACCTAGACTCCATACATCAACATCTAAGTGATGAATTTCCGGAAGAGAGAAATTCTCAGTGCAAGAAGCAATGGTGACAGAAACAAACATCTATTCAAAAACTTCTGTAAGTATTAAGATCTACAATGTTAACTAAAATGTCAGCCCATCATCGTATGGAAACTAGGTGGAGTGCTGTGAGAATTAAAGTGTTCTGAGGGACTTTTGGTTAAATTCAGTTTATGATACTTTTGGAGGGCAAAATATCAATAATAAAAATTAAAATTTAAATGGAGTGCATTATCGCCAAAATAATGAAAGAATATCAAGAGCATTGCATTTGCAAGTGATTTTTTATTATGCTCAGGAGATGTGGATGATTCAGTTCAGGATGTAGAGAAATCATCATGTTTTCATCTATGAATCTGAATCTTTTTGCTTGGGTACCTTTACATGGGCTGTCTGTGTAAAAGAAAGATATGTATATCTGTTATCACCTCTAAGTGTTCTCTTTATAGTGATCAAATAAATTACCAATAATTGTATACAGAACTTGGATAATTTATCTCATCATCTAATACTCAAATTCTATCAGGCATCCAGGAACCGGAGACTCCAATTCATCAGCTGAAGACTGAAAGAAGAAACATTGTGAATATTTTTGCAAAAAATACTCTGAGTCAACGGACACCTGGATCATGACCCTCTCCCACCGTTTCCTCTGCTTCTCCACTGTCCACTTCCTCTCCTGTTCTAAAGCTAGTCTGTCTCGCTAATGCCAAACTGCTATCGTGTGTACATCCACGAGGGGGAAGCAGTAAATACTCACTGCCATGAAACCTGCTGTCCCTGAATTGATTGTTCTCTCCTTTGAGCTCCTATAAGGGGTAGTCAGGTACCCCAAGGTTGAAGGTTCAAACCCACCAGTTGCTCCACAGGGGAAAGATGAGACTGTCTGCTTTTGTAAAGAAACCCTGCGTAGGGGCAGTGTGAGTTGGAATCAACTTGATGACAGTGGGTTTAAACAAAACAAATACATTGTTTCCTTCTCTAAGTGGTTAGTCAAAATGTATTGCTTCAAGACTAGCAACCTTTCTTAAACCCAAATGTCAAAATGTGAAGACATTGTTTCTTGATGGAGCCTTTGTCTAGGTCTAGAAGTTTCCGTTTGTCTTTTAACACCCACTTCTGTTGTCGCAGCATGAGCTCATTGTAACAGTCAACTCCTATATAGCTCTGAGCCTCTCTTTTGTGTTGTTATTGCCACAATTTATATCTGTATAAATGGTGTGACCATGACCACAAAATCAGGACTGTTATTCTGTGCCGTTGCCATTTAAATAAGATAGGAGAGAAAAGGGGCTCCAGTATTGAAGATGGGGAATAAGAAGGAGGGAGCAACAAGATCAAATTAAGAGTCTTTGTTTGTTCTGACTTGGTAAAAAAATTTGTTTGTTCTGACTTGGTAGAGTAAAATTAATACATATATATGGTATTGCATAGGTAAATCTACTCAAATACCATAAGAAGGCAAAAAATGGAATATAGTCTTTTTCCTGGACTCTTTTTACCATGCAATGTTATTATTTTTATGGTCATATTTTAAATTTGTGATACATATACCTCAAATAAAGATCATTTAAGATGTCAGGGCTATGCCTGTTTCTAAGTAACCCACTGCCACCAAGTCGACCCCAAAGTATTGCAACCCTATATAAGGTTTCTGGGGCTGTATATTTTTACAGAAGCAGACAGCCATGTATTTATCCTGGGAAGTAGCTGGTGGGTTCGAACCACCAATCTGGCAGGCCTAGCCCATATGCCTGTGCCCCAGTGCTTAACCCAAAAGACTAGCACCACCTGGGCTCCACATGTTTCAAAGTAGAAGACAAGAAACCATAAAGACATTACTTAATGCTCCAACAAAGGGGAGAATTAAGTAAGCAATGTTGCAGGGGGAGAGATTGGATTTAAGGGACCTGGTCAGGAAGATGTCCTTTTCTAGATGCAGGAAAAAACCCAAACAAACCAAACTCACTGCAATCAAGTCAATAGCGACCACCCTCTGGGTGTCTGAGACTGTGGTTACGGGAATAGAAAGCCCAGTGTTTTTCCTGAGGAGCTGCTGGTGGTTTCAAACCACTGGCCATGAGGATCTCAGCCCTCTAGATGAAGAAGGTATTGCTTAATGTCCAATCGCATACATGTCCCTGGACCCTAAGGCTTGGCTTGGCTTTGTGTTTGTTAAGGGAAAGCAGCTCTCTTCTGCTCCTGTAAAGATCTACAGTCTTGGAAACGCTATCTAGGGTCCCTATGAGCCAGAATTGACTTGATGGCAGGGAGGGAGGGAGGGAGGGAATGAGTTAGAATAGTTGTAAAGACTCCAAACCCAGACTCTTGCAGTATTGTAGCACAGGCCGGCAAGGCAGAGAACATGGCTGAGGGCATAGGTTCTCTGACTTGGTTTGGTGGTCAGGTGGGTAGCAGTGGCAGGAGGCTGAGTCCAGGGCACTCCTGCTGCTCAGTGGGTGAAACTGGGTCTGCCCCCCTCCATCCTGGCTCACTTCCTTTCCCTCTGCTCCCACCACTGCCTTCTCAGCTGCCACCACTGCCCATACTACCACCCTCTAGCAGCAGCAGCAGCAACAGCAGCGACAACGTGGTAATGAGGATGACTGGAAGTGGGCTCCCGTAAGATTATTCTAACACGGTGTTGTCACATAATATCCTATTTCACAAAATGTTTCACTGACATTAAATGACCAATATGTATACTTGACATAGAGATGGGACTGATGAGGCTGTTGAATAGCTTCATCTTTGTGGTTCAGATCTATAACCTTCTCCCTTCTGTATGTAACTGTCTTTCCCTCCTCTTCAGAGTCCAAGTTGTTTAAATATCATTCTGTTGTTGTTAACTCTGGCATCAACTCCAACTAATACACGAAACACTGCCTAGTCCTGCATCAGCTTGGGTGTCATTGCCATGGGCAGTCATCCCTCAAACCTCCAGCCTGGGTGACCTACCCCTCCAGCACAGGTCAGAGTTGTATTTGTTTTATGAATGAATAACAGAATAAAAGGCTTGCTGAACAGATGGAAGAGCCCAGCTGAGGTTAAGCAGCATATGCTTTTAGAGGACCAGGCCTGCACAGCTTTTTCTTTCTTTTTTTGATGCTACAAAAGCTAGAATTTGTCCTGCCTCTAGCGACTAGCCATCATCTACCAAGGCTCCGAGCAACAACCGCTCAAACATACCGAATATCCTGGAGGTGAACACGATGAATAGGTGGTCCTTAAATACAACTGGGTACAAATTGTGGGCTCAGATGTTCGATAAGGTGCTCCCATTGGACTTGGAACCTATGGATTTGACACAAAGGGAAAGCAATTAAAGTAACAAGAGAACAAACAGTACATTGGATGTGTGTCAAATGAAAGGGATGCTAAATGCCAAATACAAAAGAAAGGAGAGAAAGAAAAGATCTGCAAATGAATGGCTAGTGACAAAGCGTGGAGGAAGAAAAGCACTAAAGAAGCATTCCTAAAAAGGAGGGCTGAACCAGTCTCACAGTCAGGCTTCACCAGGACACTGGGAGAAAGCAAGCACGGCCATCTCCACAGTGTTCCTGGGAAAGGACGCGAGCCTGCCATTCAAGAGCTGAGAGTTTATATTCCATCAGGTCTGGCTTATATCATTTCCAGTGGACTCATGGATGCATTTTTAATATTTCAAAGTATATTTAAAATATATTATAAAGTTGAAAGGACATTTAGTGAAGGAAAACAGAAGGGAATTTCACAGACCTATGCAGATGAGGCTCTGACCACACACACACCCCACCGCAACCTTGTTTAGAAACTCTGCTTCCTTTCTGACTATAGAAAATGTGCTCTCCTTCTTTATCTACTGTTCTTCCCCTCAAAGTTGGACCAGATTCCACAAAAGGACATGAAGATATCTTCATCTTTTTGCTCAGTGTTGTGGAACTTGTGTCTACCAAACATATGTGCTGTGAACCATTACTCCTATAACTGTAGGTAGCAAGAGCCCTGCTAGGACAGTGGGTATGTGTTGGGCTGTTAACCGCAAGGTCAGCAGCTAAACACCACTAGCCACTCTGTGGGAGAAAGAGGCTTTCGGCTTTCATAAAGATGTACAACTGTTTATAGTATCTCCAACAATGTCTGTTTCCTTTGTTTATGGAGGCTTTCAGTAGCTGACAATGCTTTGAAGCTATGCATAAGGTTTGTAGGGGCTCCTTCCTCTGAGTTGGGATGCAAAGACCTTCTTCATTGTCTGTTCTTAGTCTGGACATTTTGCTGAAACCTGTTCACTTTGAGTGACCCTGCTGGCGTTTGAGATATCAGTGACATAACTTATAGCATCACAGCAACACACAAGTCACCACAGTACGACAGACAGACAAGTAGTGGTGACAGGAATAGTTCATGTGTTTCTTCCTATCTTAGCCCCATGCCAGCAGTTTAGATGGACCCTATTTTCTGCCTTGTTTGGAAAGAACCCATGATTTTAATTTTCATGTGGCCCGTCACAGTTTTTACCCTGTAATCGACATGTTTTGCCTCAAGTCCTGTTATCCTAATAAAAAATAACTAGTGGTTACTGATGTTTAACTTGGAACAAGGACATATGTAGCACACACACTCCTTTTAGGACTTGAGCCTGACCTCCCCATTAGATTACCTCACCTCTATCCCTGTTACCTTCAATCCCTACATTTATTATTATGGATGCTGAAATGCAGTTGTTATTATGATAGAAATCCCCAAAGAGGTACAGTAGGAGAGAAACCGAAGTATGAAATTTCCTGATCCAAAAGGAGAGAATAGTTCAAGAAGCACGCCTTATCCTTCACTGGCGAGTCCTATTCAGGTTCTTCCTCATGCCCTTGACCCACGATGACAGAGCACTTCAAGACTCAGTCCTTGAACATCTACTTCTGCTTATATGTACACCTAGGCTCTGCCTCCAGGGCTCTCTGTTTGCACGGAGGATGCTGAGAAGGAGCAGCCCATTGAGAGTGAATAAAACAATTTCAGAAGGAAGGAATAATCAATAGGATCAAAGGTTGGTTATGGAGCACGAAGTGAACTGGGAAGTAACCACTAGATGTAGAGGTAACGGGTGACTGAGATAATACCAGTAAGGCATTATCAATCTGGATAATTGTACCAATGTATCAATCTGGATAAAGTTAAGATAGATCCCAAAGCCATGTAACTCAGCAACCCTATGACACTTCATGGTAGCAGAAAGCCTCATCTATTTCCCAAGGAGCAGCTGGTAGGATTGAAATCCTGACCTTGAGGTTAGCCATCTAACACTTACCTGACAGCACCACCAAGTCTCCTTTAAGTGCCAATAGAGACTAATTATACCCATTTAAAATGTTTACAAAATAATATTACAGATTTTAATGGTAAACATACAGTGATGATGCAGGCCATACATAAAATTCGTCACAGCCATTGTCCTTGGAAAATGACAGAGACAAGAGATATATTGGCTCTATTTGTGATGGTCAATTGCTTTCATTAAAATCCAACATTGGAAAGAAATTGGATGAGATGTTAACATTTAGTGATTCTGTGAGTCAGCTGCATGGAAGTCTGTTACCCGTTTTTCTGCTTGCATTTGTAACATTTTCCCAAACAAAGTGAATGAAGTAAAACACAACATGAGCAAATTCACAGTGAAGCTGAGTAACATCTTGTGTAATTTATGCAGCTCCCAGAAATTATAGGAAGGAAACTGGTGATAACAATTTTGAACTCAGTGTAAAACATTTTAAAGCCTGAAAATGCTGCCAAATAGGCAAGTCAGAACTAAGTGAAAATGCATTTCATTGGGAAAAGGTAGAACAAAAAGGCCCAAATCAGAAAAAAATATTCTGCTTTTATGAATAATTTATCACACTAGAAGCCTTGAGCAATGGGATCTAACCTATCCTCATGAAATTACATTGATCTTTTACCTCCTTAATATAGGATGGAAGGGGCACCAACAAATGAAAGGAAACCGTGACAATTGAAGTAGCTCAAAAGGGAAGAACACCAGCAGTAGTTAGTAGTCCATAACTCTTTAAATAAACCAAGAATGTAAACAAAACTAAATTAGACTTAAATCTGTAGGATGAGTATGTGGATTATTCCTATTTTGGATGATCCATTAATTCTGAAAAACTGGCCCTTCATGATTCCATTTCCTCAGGATCCTTTCTCAGTTCTCTTTAGCTGCTCACAATGCAAGGGAAGGATGAGATGGATTGTCTCTACCATGCTGCTTCTCACACTCTTCATGTTTTAAGAGGAATTTTCTTACCATTCTGTACATCGGCACTCGCTCACAAATCAATGGATAGGTCACTGAAGGCAGTACCTTGAAGAAAGATGTCAATATTTACTATATAGCAAATGCAGCATGTTGCCTTCTAATAGTTACTAATAAATATTATAAGAAAACACTCTACTATACAAGGGGCTTCAAAAACTTTGTGGAAAAAATCCACAATCTTTTTATTTCATTTTGTCCCGTGAACTTTTAGAAGCACCCTCATACAATGTTGAAAATCAATTCATAGGGACTTGCTTACATCTAGGACAATGACCTTTCCTTTATTTTTATTTAGGAAACTTACATGGTAATGATGCTTCTACATTCCAATTAAAGTGGTAAAAAAATTGATTCTAAAAGACTATAAAAATGATATATTTCGTAATTGTTAGAGAAAACCTACAGAGATTGTAATAGGTTATGATCTATAATTTAAAATGAAATACGAAGAAAATAAGAAGAAAACAGAATATAGAGGAACAGAACAAACAGAAAATTAATAATGAAATAGTAGGTCTAAGTATAAGCACACTGAGAATGACATGAGATCTAAATTTAATGTCATTAGGTGTAAAATTAAAAGAAATTGTTGGAATGGACTTAAAGTAGAAACAAAATACAGAAGAAAACAAGAAATTTTTCCAACACTTAGAAATTAAAAAAAACACTTCTAATTAAATAAATCAACTCTGCCTCAGAGTGGAACTGCTGCTGAGGGTTTCTGAGAATGCCAATCTTGACGAGAGCAGGCTCACCCTAACCTTGTGGGGAGCCACCAAACACTTAACCCATTGTGCCATCACGGAGCCAAAAAAAATAAATGGAAGGGAGCAAAAATTTTTAAACCACAAAAAAATGTTTGCGATACAATTCAAAAAAGAGCTTAAATGGAATTCTATAACATTAATGCATATACTAGAAAAGAAAGATCATATCAAATCAATATCCTAAAATTCTACCTCAAGAAGCCAGAAAAAGAAGAGCAAAATAAACCCACAGCAGTCAAAAGGAAGAAAATAATTAAAAGCAGAAATCAATGAAACGGACAACAGGAAATCCACAGAGAAAATTCAATGAAACTAAAATCTGGTTCCTTGAAAATAGCACTAAAATTGATAACTTACTAGCAAGACTAACAAAGAAAACAAAAGAAAAGACACAAATCTTCAATATCAAGAATGAAAGGGTGGCTACAACTGCAGATCCTACAGACACTTGAACAACTCTCAGAGTCCATGGCATGGTACAAGTAGTTAACAGAAAGGTTGAAAGTTTGAATCTACCCAGATGTACCTTCAAAGACAGGCCAGATGATCTACTTCCAATAAAACCAGCCATTGAGAACCCTGGAGAGCACAGTTCTCCCTGACACACATGGAGTTGTCAGAAGTGGGAATCAACAACCCCAGGGACAAGGGAACAGCAAGTGATCCAAAATTAGTGTCAAGGAGGGTGTGAGAGGCCTGCTGGAGATTCATCAAGGGCAATGTAACCGAGAGGAATTACTGAAACCCAAATGAAGGCTGAGCATGATAGTGGGACAAGAGGAAAGTAAAAGGAATTAGAGGAAAGAACTAGGAGGCAAAAGGCATTTATAGAAGTCTAAATACAGGCACGTACATATGTAAATATATTTATATATAATGATAGGGATATAGGGGTATATACAAATATTTATACATTTAGTATTAAGGTAGCAGACAGACATAGGGTCTCTACTCAAGACCTCCCTCAACGCAAGAACATTTTGTTCTAATAACCTGTCATTCCATTATGCTCACTTTCCTGACATGATTGCTGAAGACAAAATGGATACATGAGCAAATGGGGTGAAGAAAGCTGATGGTGCCCGGCTATCAAAAGATAGAGCGGCTGGGGTCTGAAAGGCTTGAAGGTAAACAAGCAGCCATCTAGCTCAGAAGCAACTAAGCCCACATGGAAGAAGCACACCAGCCTGTGTGACCACGAGGTGTCGAAGGGATCAGGTATCAGGCATCAAAGAACAAAAAATCATATCATTGTGAATGAGGGGGAGTGCAGAGTAGAGACCAAAGTCCATCTGTAGGTAACTGGACATCCCATTGCAGAAGGGTTGTGGGGAAGAGATGATCCAGTAAGGGTGCAGGGTAGCAATGAGGAAACATACAACTTTCCTCTGGTTCTTTACTGCTTCCTCCCCACCCCACCCCCACCCACCCCCACTATCATGATCCCAATTCTACCTTACAAATCTGGATAGACCAGAGGATGTAAACTGGTATAAATAGGAACTGGAAACACAGGGAATTCAGGACAGATAAACCCCTCAGGACCAATAATGAGAGTAGTAATACCAGGAGGGGAAGGGGAAGGTGGGAGAGAAAAGGGGAAGCAATCACAAGGATCAACATACAACCCCCTTCCTGGGGGTTGGACAACAGAAAAGTAGGTGAAGGGAGATGATGGAAAGTGTAAGACATGACAAAATAATAATAACTTATAAATTATCAAGGGTTCATGAGGGAGGAGGTGTGGGGAGGAAGGGGGAAAATGAGGAACTGATACTAAAGGGCTCAAGTAGAAAGCAACTGTTTTGAGAATGATGATGGCAACAAATGTACCAATGTGCTTGACACAATGGATGGATGTATGGATTGTGATGAGTTGTATGAGCCCCAATAAAATTATTTTTAAAGGAAAAATAAATAAATAAAAAATAATATTTTGTTCATTTTTGCTGAAGGTTTGCAGGGCAGCTTAGGTCCACATTCAATATTTTCTCCACAACTTGTTCAGTGCCGTTGGTTACCATCTTCACAAGGTGTGAATGTCTCCTTCTTTCTTTTCTGGTCCTTCCATTTCTGTTCATTTAGCTTCTCGGTCTCTCAAGTTCCCTTCTTTGCTCCAGCAGTGGTTTTTGACCCTTGGATATATTTTTCCCCTATTAAATCTCTTTGCACATAAATTTAACACCAATTGCTGCATGTTTATATTTTGTCCTCTTTATCACAAGCCCCAAACTGTCTTCCTAGAGCTTTGGAAGCTTCTTTGTCATCTGTATTCTGTCCTTACTAAGCATCCAATGCCCTCACACTGCCCTATGTTGTTCTCATATATATCGCAGCAACCCGAACACACCTCTCCTGTTTCAAAATTATTTCTTACTTCTTCTAAAGGCCTCTAGAAATTCTCATGCCTAGAATGTATTTCAAATAAATATTTGGAAAATCAAGTCATTATAGATGCCACAGTTAAAATGCTTTTTCTTATGTCATTGAAACAAGGAAGTTTTAAAGCAAAAATATTCAACAATTGCACAGGTCAACAATCCCTTCTTTTAAATCTTTGGAGTTGATGTGTTTGGGAATTCAAAAAGTTTTGTATTGTGAAAAGATCCTTGAGAAAATGTAAACACAGTATATTATATAATACCCCAGTCGGGCTGGAATTGCACCTTATAATTAAACACCTGAATATATCTGAAGTAAAATCAAATGTGATCATGTATGTATTTTTGTACTTCTCTGTGCCCCTGAGTGGATTCTGACTCCTGGGGACCCACGGGACAGAAGAGAACTGCCCTGTGGATTTCTGAAGCTGGAAGAACGCCTCATCGTTTGCATGTACAGAAGGAGAAAGCCCCGTTAGCAGCCTAACCGGAAGGGCTCTCCTCCGTGCTATAGTGTCGCTATCAGTTGGCACAGACTCTGTGGCAGTGAGTTTGCTTTGGACCTCGGGATAAATAATGAATGGCTCCTGGTGGGGTAGTAGGCTAACACTTGGGCATTTTGAAGTCACCAGCCGTTCTGATGAAGAAATACGAGGCTATCTGCTCCTGTAAAGATTTCCAGCATCGACACTGGTAAGGTTGGTTCTTCTGTCTAATAGGTTTATTATGAGTCAGAATTCACTCAATTAACAATGAGTTTGGGGATTTGGTCCTCTTACTCAGCTAACATTTTCCAGTCAAATAATCCTTATTTCCAGAGTTTTGGGGACTTAAGAATTGCACATACTTGATTGAGGACCTATATGAGTATTTCAACTTTCAATCTATTAGCAAGTTCTTCCAATTCTATCTGCATACTTCTCAAATCTCTTTCCATTTCAGTGTCAACTACTCTAGAGAAAGCTCCTTTGGATCTCTCATCTAGATGAATAGAAAATTGCCTGACTTGTCTACTAGCCATTTTTCACACTCCTACCAAACTAATCTTTCCAAATTATAACATGATCATGTTATTGCTTTGACTTCCCCCTACCTCGAAGATAAATACCACACAAGTTCCTACAAAATCTGAGCTCTATTAGCCACTGTAGCTTGATCTATTGCTGTATCCACCTCAGACATTATGTTAAAACCAAGGCAAATGCATTGCCATCAAGTCAATTTTAACTCACATGGCCTCTATATATAGTTTCTGAGGCTGTCACTCTCATGGGAACAGATAGCCTCATCTTTCTCCTGAGGAGCTGCTGGTGGGTTTGATTTGCCAACCTTGAAGTTAGTAGTTCCACAATTAACCTGGGTATACCATACATTATGTTACAGCCACGTTAATAACGTATTTATAGTTTCCCATGGAGTTTCCCGCCTTTGCTTATAACTGCCCTTATACCAGGAGCCCTAGGAGCCACAAGGCCAGTAGTTGAAAAATGACAGCCTCTCCGCAGGAGAACAAGGAGGCTTTCTATTCCCATAAAGAGTTACAGTCTCGGAAACCCACAGGGGCAATTTTGTCGTGACCTACAAGGTCGCTGTGAGTCAGCTGGCAGTGAGTTTGGTTTGGGTTTGCCCTTAACCCCTTAATCAGCTAGTGACATTCAATTCTTCTCATCTCCTTTGACCTCATGTTCAGCTCCTTTACAAAGTTAACTAATAAACTCTCATTCCATGCTAGCACTTAGAATATTCAATGCTTTTATTTGCTTACATGTCTGTTATTCACTTGTGTCTGTATTGTTTGTCACAGTTCCTGATAACTAATAGATGCTCGATACGTGTGGAGCAAATGAGATTCTGCAATGGGCAGAGACTGCTGTTGTGGGCCATGGAGCAGCTCAGCTGGTGACTCCCGGCAATGCATATGGGGCAGAGGAGAACTGTCCTCCAGGCTTTCCTAGGCTTTAATCCTTTCAGGAGCTAATTGCCAGTGGTGGGTTTAAAATGTCAACCTTTGGGGTAGCAGCCAGGTGCTTAACCTTTGCACCACTAAGGATTCCTGTAGACCTTATCCTTACTGTCATCAGGTCCATTCCACTTCGTAGCAACCCTATGTAGGCTTTCTGTGACTGTACATTTTTATGGGAGCAGATAGCCACCTCTTTTTCTCAGGGAGTGGTTGGTAGGTTTGAACCTCGGACCTTGCAGTTAGCAGCACAATGTTTAAAAAACTTGAATTTTCATATTTTGACCTATGGTATAGTTAAATAAGTGTGCTAAAAATGTTAGTGCAACACATTAAAACCTATTTAAAAGAAAACAAATTGTGTTCTATTTTCACAGTACACATTTCTAAGATTTATATGTAATACACACATATATCAATTTCTATATACTACACACACAAAGACTGACATGTATATACGTTACCATGTAGGGAGAAGAATAATCACGAGTGAGGTTCCCGGTGGCTGGCATGCAGATGTTGGTGTTCAACTGGCAGTTCATTCCAGCATTACGTTCTGTCTCTAAGGGTTGATTCATGTCAAATCTAAAACAGGATTGATAAATCAGCCCAGGTGGGAGAATCACAAATCTAGCAATTGAACATGCAGCTAGCATCTAGTCTTTGAGACATTGCTGATATTTACCAACAGGTAAGAGATAGTACACAGGAATAACAAAACAACGTAAAAAAAGATCACTGACAATTTACTATATGACATTAACTTCTTACCATTACTACATTATTTTGCAGCTTAGTTTTGATATATAATGCCAACTTTAAACCTTTCTCTGTCAACAAAGTAGGAGAACACATGGGAAAAAATTAAATGGTAGTTTTTCCATAAGGTGACTCAAATGAACATTTTGCTCTAAACCAGTGGTTCTCAAGCTTCCTAATGCCGTGACCCTTTAATATAGTTCCTCATGTTGTGGTGACCCCCAACCGTAAAATTACTTTCGTTGCTACTTCATCACTGGAGTTTTGCTACTGTTATGAATTGGGCGACCCCTGTGGAAGGGTCGTTCGACCACCAAAGGGGTTGCGAACCACAGGTTGAGAACCACTGCTTTAACTATTGTGATAGCCTATGTTGAGAGAAAAAAACCCAACACCAGTACACCCCGTGGTGGTGGGTGAGCATATGCAGTCTAATCGGAGGTCTTAAATTCTGAGCTCCACAAGGGTACTCACTAACCAGATAACCTTGACCAAATAGCTTAACCTCTGAATGTCTTATTTGTAAAATGGGAATAGACACTGGATTATCTATATGCTGCACAGAATAAAGTTTTTAGGGCAATAAATAATACCATAGAGGAAATATTTTGTAAAACTAAGAGAAAAGGAAGCAAACTTTCTTGGGCATCTCTTCTTCCTGGGCACGGTGTGCGGGATTGCCACCGTTTTAAATGTCAGTTAATTTTCAGAACAATCCTGTGAAGTGGGTATCATAAATTCTCATTTTAAGGATGAGAAAAGGGAGCTTCAGAAAAGATCAATCATTTGCTCCATGTCCTACAGTCAATAAGTGGCACTGCCATCGAGCCTGTGCATTCCCCGCCAGACTCTGTTGCCTCTGCACTTTGCAGATATATTACAGCGATGTATCCTAATATCTTATGCAAATTTCTTCTGTATTACAAGATGTTCAAAACCCAATGATTGCCTGTTGGTACTGAAGTTTCTCTAGACAGATTTCTTTATAATCTGATTCCAAAACTAGACTCCCACTTAAAAAAATGTTTCCGCCAGTGGAGATTCTTCTTCTTCTTTTCTACATCCCCTTCACCTCTTCCCCTTCACCCATCCGAGATCCCTCCTCTACTTCACACAATGCACATCCCATAGGTGACTCCACATGCATGGAACACTCTACTCAGCCTACATTGTAGTACAAATCCTAAGACCCGGCCCTCCTCTCTAAAAGCTGGTCTTTATTCTGTGCTCCTCATCTGATATATTTACACTGAATTTTTATAAGGTTGGTCATGTTAAAGACTCGAGCTAAAGAAAAAAAAGACTCCAGCTGGATTCAGTCAACAAATATTCACTAAATATCTATGAGGTGCATGGACTATATTGCCATACAAAACAAACAAATAAGTCTGTCCTCATGGAACTTACGATCTAGTGGAAATAATAATGCCCGAACCCAGATGATCGCTGGGAAAATTCGATGAGACATCATGTGTGAAAGACACATTTGACATTCCATACTCAAACTCTCAGCCAAACACAAGATAGGAGTATTCCTTTTCAGATACTCAAAATCTCAAAAAAATGACCTATCATGTACCTTTGCTCAAGAAGTCCCGTCAAGCACTTCCCATCACTGTCATCTTAGGTGTTCCCGACCACATTCCCTAAGTACACATCACTGACTCCCATATGTTCTCTCTCTCAGTCAGCTCCCCTGTTTTGCTGTAGCTATGTTCAAGTCATCCTTCCATTTGGTCATGGCTTGAGTACAAGGTATCGATAGTGGAACTAATTGTCACTAAGGATTTCTTGCCTTAAAATCTTATGTTGTTGAGAATAGAATACCATATATACTCGAGTATAAGTCGACCCAAATATCAGCCAAGGCACCTATTTTTACTACCAAAACTGCATTAAAAATGTGCTGAAAAACTCGGCTTGTACTCGAGTATATATGGTATATACAGCAAAGCACACAGCATCTCCATAGCCTCCACATATACAATTCAGTGACATTGATTACTTTTGAGTTGTGCAAACATTCTCTCCTCCCTTGAGTTTTTCCTCCTACAGTAACAGAAAACTCCCTGCCCCATAAGGTTTCTATCTAGCCTTTCAAGTTGCTTTTGTCCATTTGCTGTCACATAGAAAGCTCTTAAAGCTTTTGCGCTAGTTAAGCTCAATTACTGTTCAGTTTTAAGATGGCTTCAGTAGTTCATTCACTCTCCATGCTTCCAGAAAGTCCAGAATCCATGCGATTTTGAAATTCTGGTCTACATTTCCCCCCTTTTGAACAACATTCTTCTACAAAATCTTTGATCAAAATGTTCACTAATGACAGTTGGGGACCATCCAGTTCTTCTCACAACAAAGAAGAGGGTTGTTCATGGAGGCAGTCCATCTTTCCCACCTGCTCCTGACTTGGGAACTAGAGGCTGACTGCTATGCCTTAGATGGCTGCTTGCAAGCTTTGAAGACCCCAAGTATTGTGCAATATACTAGGAGGTGGGACAGATGCAATGAACACTTTATTAGGCCACTTAACTGAAATGTCTAATGAAAGCATGATCCTAAACCTCCAAACCAAGGAACTAAATCCCATGAGATGTTTTGGTTTTACATAAGCATCCTCAGCAGCTACTTAGGGGTGGGGAGGGGAAAAGACTATATGATATAAGAGTACTATATTTAGTTTTCTGAGGAATTGCCACACTATTTTCCACACCAGCTGTACCATTTTGCATCCCTACTAAAAATGAATAATAGTTACAATCTCCCCACATCATCACCAACATTCGTTACTTTCTATTTGCTTTTTATTCTTGTTGTTTTTGTTGTAAATATTAGCCACATTAGTGGGTAGGAAATGTATCTCATGGTGGTTTGGGTTTACATCTCTCTGATGGTTAATAACACTGAGTATCCTTTCATGTGTTTGGTGGCCATCTGAATGTCTTCGTTGTTTAAATGTCTATTCAAGTTCTTTGCCCATTTTTTATTAGGTTGTCTTTTTGTTACTAAGTTGTTGGCACTGCATCTGTATTTCACACATTAACAAAGAACGCAACCTACACAAATTGGAATCGTATATAACAAATAAAATTTGTCAATCAATGATTTAAGCACAACATCCACACAGTGCAGCATTTTATAAGAAACAGTTCCTACCTATAATTTAAAAACAATTATGTTCTTTTTGTTCCTCTTATAAGTCCCTTTTTCTAACAAGTTCTTACTGGTTGTCTTTTACAAATAATACCAACTTACCCTTTGGCCGGTATTTTTCCTAAGTTAAGATCTGTTTCAGAAAACAAACAAACAAAAAGTCTTACATTATTTTGGTATACATACTTTTCTTAAAAGTGCATTTGAAGTATTCACTGAAGCATAGATACTTACTTTGCAAACAGCCAGCAAAATGAGATGGAAACCTATTATGTCACCACAGTAATGCCATATACGGACTTTCCCAATAAGCTAACGGGACCTTACATTATTCAGGGAACAAAAATAAGTACAACGATATTAAATTCACCCAGCAGCCGACTTCTGGAATGTCAGCCACTGAGAAACCTATGCAGTGTAGTTTGACTCTGACATACATAGAGGCATCATGAGTTGGCCCTGCTAATGTTAAATTATTCATTAAATTAACTTTATTTGAGCACTTACTATGTGCCAGAGGCTGACTGGGTAGAAAGATACAGAATGAACAAAAATGCTCATAAAATTCCCTGCCCTCATGGAGTTTACATTCTATTGGAGACAGAAAAATAAGTATATGCTAGACAGTGATAAGTGCTAAGAGAAAAAGTCAGAGAAAAGAAGGTGCTATGTTGGTGAACGAGAGGCGTGCAACTTTTACACAGGTTTCACTCTAAGATTAAGCATCTCTTATCTGGACAACCTCCCTAAGATAAAGGAAGCCTCTGAAGGGATTTGAGCAGAGGAGAGACATGATCTGACCACTATGTAAAGAATGGGCTGTAGGAAAGTGGTCTGTGGAAGAGATTATGGTAGCGTGGCCCAGAATGGTATCCATGGAGATAATGAGAAGGGGTCAACTTTTGGAGTTCAGGAGGAGTGCTTATGAGTGGAGATACTAATTTCATAGTCCTCAACATGTAACTAATATAAAAGCCATTCGCCTGAATGAGATCACTAGGGAATTAGTAAGTATGAGTGAGCTTCAAATAGGCTCATGGAAAAACAGAAATAAAAGATAATGAGATTTTCCTACGAGGTTTTTGGAGCTCCCTCATTTAGTTAAGGAGAGAAATGAGGAATTAGCAAAAGGAATGGAAAGAAGCCAACAGCCAGTTCAAAGGAAAACATGGAGGCCAGTGAAGAACATGAATCTAAGAAGAGGGAGCACTGAACTGGTGGCCATGCTGCTGACGGGACCGGTAAGAGCCTAAGAAAGGACCATAAGGTTTAGCAATAGTCAAGTCCCTGGTTCAGTGTTGTGCTGGATCCAAAACAACTCCTTTCTGTCTTTCACAACCTGCAGCTAATTTATCAGGAAATCTGTTGACTTTACCTTCAAAATATATCCAAATGAGGAAATAGGAGAATTGACATCTTTTCAGTATTATGTCTTTGAATTAATGAACATATTAAATCTCTCACATAGCCGGTAAGTTTTATTACTAGACATGTTATAGGTAAATAGTTAGTCTTTTCACTTTTTTTGTAAGACCTACAACGATTCCTATCATTCTTCATATTGATAATTTATGCTTTATTTCCTTACTTTTAATTTCACTGGGTTTGTTTTATTGTTGTTTTGCTAATATCTTGAGATGGCTCTTTGATTTTCATCCTTTCTTCAGGACTAAAATAAGCACTTAAAGATACATATTTTCCTCCAACTGCATCCCACAGATTGGATACATAGCATTTTCATTTTGTCGTGGTCAATATTTTCTAACAGTGTTACCTAGATGCATATTTCATAGTTTTAGTTATATGAGGATCTTCTACTCATCTTTTTTGTTATTGAATTCTAGTTAAAATATAAATAGATCAATCTCACTATTATAGAAGAACACAAGTAAATGGGTTTATTTCAAAAACGCATGGTTGCTTTAACTTTCAAAAATCAATTAATATAATTCATTACATTAGCAGAATTCTAGAGAAAATTCATATGATCCTGTCAATAGAAAAAGCATCAGTAAAATTCTAACTTTCCTTCATGACTGAAAAATCTTAACAAACTATAAATAGAAGTGAACTTCCCTAATGATGTGTCTAACATCTACAAAAAAATTACAGCAAATGTTGTTCTTAAAAGTGGTATATTGAAAGCCTTCCCCCAAGAATCAGAGGCAAAGAAAGTATGCCTATGCCCAATATCATCAACAAAAAAGGACTAATAGATAAAAAGATTGAAAAAGAAGAAGCAATGTTGTCATTATTTATAGATGGCCTAGTCAAAAATATTAAAAATCCAGAGGGATCTACAGGTAAATTATCAGACTTAATAATGAAATTAAGCAATGTTACTGAATGCAAGTTAAATATTCAAATATAAAAATTTAAATGCTATTTACAATAGAATAGACTTATACATCTAGGAACAAAACTAACAAAATATGTGCAAGATCTATACACAGATCATCTAAAAAAGATTAAGGAGAGAAGTTAAATACTCAAGTGAACGGAAAGATTTGATAAGTCCATTGATTGATTAGAAGACACCATGCTGTAAAGGTGTCCACTCTCTTTAAAATTCAGGAGGGAAATAAAGAAGAACCAGCCAAAGGCCTGGGGCTGAACAACTTAGAGGAGTCTGTGGAAAGGCACAAACCTGATTAGAATTCGTTTGAGAGATAATTTGAAAACAGTGAGTAGAAATAACTGTTGGACATGAGAGAAATGGATCAATAGCTAGAGAGAGAAGCAAGATCAAGAGAGGATTTGTTTGTATGCTGATGAAAATGATCCATAGTATTAAGGTAGCAGATGGACATTGGGCCTCCACTTAAGTACTCCCTCAATGCAAGAACACATTGATCTTTTAACCTGGCATTCCATGATGCTCACCTTCCTGACACGATTGATCGCTGAAGACAAAGCCGGTGCATAGGCAAATGTGGTGAAAAAAGCTGATGGTGCCTGGCTATTACAAGATATAGCGTCTGGGGTCTTAAAGGCTTGAAGATAAACAAGCAGCCATCTAGCTGAGATGCAACAAAGCCCACATGGAAGAAGCACACCAGCCTGTGTGATCATGAGGTGTCGATAGGATCAGGTATCAAAGACCCAGAAAAAAAATCATATCATTGCAAATGAGGGGGAGTGGGGAGTGGAGACCCAAAGCCCATCTGGAGGCAACTGGACATCCCCTTATAGAAGGGTCGCAGGGAGGAGACGAGCCAGTCAGGGTGCAGTATAGCACCAATGACACATACAACTTTCCTCTAGTTCTTTAATGCTTCCTCACCCCCACTATCATGATCCCAATCTACCTTATAAATCTGGCTCGACCAGAGCATGTACATGGGTACAGATAAGAGCTTGAACCACAGGGAATCCAGGACAGATAAACCCCTCAGGACAAATAATGAGAGTAGCCATACCAAGAGGGTAAGGGGAAAATGGAGGAAGAAAGGGGGAACCGATCACAAAGATCTACATAAAACCCTTTCCAGGGAGATGAACAATAGAAAAGTGGGCAAAAGGAGACATTGGTCAGTGTAAGACATGAAAAAATAATAATAATTTATAAATTATCAAGGGTTCATGAGGGAGAGACGGGGAAAATGAGGCGCTGATACCAAGGGCTCAAGTAGAAAGAAAACATTATGAAAATGATGATGGCAACATATGTACAAATGTGCTTGACACAATGGATGGATGGATGGATTATGGTAAGAGTTGTGTGAACCCCCAATAAAATGATTTTTAAAAAAGAAAATGATCCATAGAGAAGATATGTTCAGTGCCTTAAAAAAACAAAAACAAGAAAATACAAATTCATTTTGATTAGGGTTTTCTTGTTTGCTTCCCCTTATGCTTCTGTCCCACACCTTCCTGGATCTTTACTTGCTCTCTCTCTCGACACTGGCTGTAAATCTTTATGTATAATTTACTGCTAGTAGAAAAAATGCTATATAATGCATTAATCATGTTTCAAAATACCCAAGACTGTTGTAAAATGCTGAATCTCCATATAAATATTGTCTACTATGTTCCTGAATAGAAAACACAATGATCAATAAGACAAATACTGTCTCTTCCTCATGGTGCTTATAGTTTTGCTGGAAAACTATGATTTTATGATGCAGGAGAGGTACAGGGTATTTTGTGACTATATCAAGACAATTTCAGTTCATCTACATAGTCAATAAAGACTGCTCTGTGTCAGACTTAAAGCTGAGGTTTCAAAAGGAAAATATAAGGCTGATAGGCCATGAAGATACCGGAAGACATTCGAAGTGAGTGAAACAATTTGTGTATGCTAGAGAGTTAGACAAAAAAACGCAAAATGAGGCGTTGGGGTTTATTCTCAGATGGAGCAATCACAGAGAGGTTTTGATCAAGGGACTGTTGTGGTTATAGTTGAGTTTCTAAAAGACTACTCTGGTGATAATATGAACAGATTATTAAACTCAAACTTACTGCCTTCAAGGTCGATTCCAACTCAAAGTTAAGTAATTTAGAATAGTCCAGGAAAGAATGGCAATGGTTTTAACTAAGGTAATGGCACTTTGGATGGCTAGAAGTAGAGAGAATTGAGGGGTCATTGAGAAGTAATGCAGTACTATGAACTGCTTTCATATGGCCTTTCTTGCTATGATCCTGTAACATCCATCAAATGACTGGGTGGGTATAATGCAGTGTTTCGTTCAGTTGTCCTTAGGGTTGCTATGGGTTGGAGCCAACTCAGTGGCACCTAATGATAATAACAACATGCAAATAAGGTGCTTGTGGGCCAACAAGGGAGTTGGGTTGTTTGCTAATGATGTGTGTGTGTGTGTGTGTGTGTGTGTGTGGAACCCTGCAGGGGGTGGGGCCATGCAAATAAGAAGAAGCCCCATTGCTTGGAACCAAAGAGACAGATGAGAGAGCTGTAACACTGGACCCGGCTCTGGAGAACACTGGAGTGCTCAGTGGCAGCAGAGGCAGCAGGACCAGGAGACCAGCAGGAGGTAGTGTGGTGGACTTTCCAGCCCACACAGTGAGGGCACTGAGACTTTCTTCCCTGAGGCTTTACTGGTATCATGGGGTGCGTTCAGGCACTTATCCACCGGACTAAAAGAGCTTTGTAACATGTGCCAGAGCAGGGGCAGGCTGGACTGGGCTCTAGAGACTGAAGGAAGTGTCTTTGCAGGCATGACTGAGCAGAGGCTGTCTTGACTGAAAAACTGTATACCGAGTCAATCCTGAATTACAACCTGTTCCTCCTCCAGCACACCCCATAATTTTTAGTACTGAGTATTGTCTATGAGTTGTGTATGACCATTACAACAAATTTTCAAACTCAGCATAGGGTGGAAAGTATCATGGGAGGGATGGCTGGTGTGAAAATTGGATGAAAGGTCAGAGGGTGGAGGCGTGTCTGACCAACACTTTGTAGGGTAATCAATCAGCCTTGGGTTGGTGCTGATGGTGATTCTCTCTCCCCTTGTAGAGGAGGTCAGATGCCCCCACCATGCCATCTTTACAGGTAAGATTAATATCAGGGCCTTTGAACGTTTGTGGGAGTATTCTATTATCTTTTACAAAAACTTCGTAAAGTCCCCTGGTACTTTTTGGAAATGAAGTAAGTGCACACTTGATTTTACTGGAAGGACTTATGTTCCCTTGTGCTCATCATAGTTTTGGTCAAACTTACCCACTGAAGATGCAGAAGGCAAATCCATTAAAAAATATGTACCAAGGGGAAAATATTTAAAACAGATACCGTTTAAGTCTTTCAGTTATATTAAGAATGAGGTTAATGGAAATACACATAAGCCCTGTGATAGCACAGATCATTATTACATGGATCCGTGTCTGAAATAGAACATCAAGTAACCATTAAGAAACAAGGCGCCTGCCTCTGAGCAGTTGTGTGCTGGTGAGGAAGTAACAAGTAGCTCTGCAGAAGAAAGACAAAAGGAAGGAAGACTCCGCTGGCAGTCTTTGGTCATTTCTGTGGTGTAAATACTCCCACTGAGGTCAGTTTCATACTACCAACATGACCTCAACTAGCTTGCAAAATTCCAGAAATGGTAACAATTGGCTCTTATAAGTTGGTGTGTGCTGGTGCCAGCCTACCACTGAGCTGAGGTAAAGTAGCCTCGAGGAATTACAAAGGACTTCGACCTTAAGCGCTACAAGGCATCACCCGATAGGCAGGCAACGATATAGAAATACTTCTTGGTCAAATTCTTATTTTAATAGGTAATGATTTACATGGCACAAAACACAAAAGGTACAAAATGGTACAGAGTGGAAACTCTCAACCTATCTTTGTCCAGGAACCACCAAGCTCTTCTTGGAAGTGCTTTACTTATTTCTTGTATATCTTTCTAGAAGTATTCTATAAGAAATTGTAAGCATTTATGTCCGTTTTTAAAAGCAATGGTTATAGCATAGTTTATTCTACATCTTGCTCTTTTTACATTTGATTACGCACTTTATTTCAATAAATAAAAAACAGTACCTTACTGAAAGTCATTCTGTTATCACAGTGTGGTACTAGAAATCCTTGTTCCCATATCATTTCACAACTGTGAAATTTCTGGGTCAAAGACTGCTTCATGAAATGGCAGCAGATAGAGTAAGTAGTTGAGAAGTGGAGGAATTACACATTCTAATCCTGACCTCCACTCTTTTTGACAAACTCATTTAACAGAGGCATGTTACCTGCAAGCGAGTCCTTGTGTGGTGAAGCTGTCACAGCTGCACTCTGTAAACTGAAGAGAGCAGAAGAAAGATGACCCATCGGGGGAATAAATAGGGTGATATATATTCTACAGATCAAAACCCATATTCTTCCCCCCAGAAGAATTTACTTTAGAGGACAGCACCGAAGCTGCAGCTCGGGGAAAGGGACATGTCTGATCAGAGCACATGGGAGCAAATGAAGGGGGAGGAAGAGAGAGTGGAGCACATCCTGGCCCACCAGGCCTGGAGGACGAAATCCCCACTCCGAACAGCCAATGCACAGAGTAGGCCATATGGCTGTTCCCACTCTGAGACACGACATCCTTCGCTGACCCATGGCCCTATGGGGGACAACACTGGAGACTCAGTGTCGGGATTGGCCCGGACTGACCCCACCACACTGAGGCAAAACACTAAGGGCATGTGGCAGAGCAGCAGGGGGACCAGAGCAGGGAGGTCCCGAGGGAGTGCAAAGGATAGACTTTGGGGCCAGGACATGGCACCCCATCAGACTTGACTGGAGGACACTCCTAGAGTTCAACAAACAGACCTTGATCTATTTACAGGTTTTTCTTTTTTAAATTTTTTCTTTTTAATTATTTATTGGTCATTGGTTTTCTTTGTTGCTGTCACTGTGTTCTCTTTTGTTGCTTTGTCTCGCTATGTCTTGTTTTTTGTGGGCATATTATTGTCTCTGCAGATCTATCTAGATGAGATGGACTGGATGAACAGTCTGGAGGAGAAAACAATGGGACCGATGGTTCTGGGGGACATGCGAGAAGGGGAGGTGGGGGAAAGGAGGTAGTGTAACCAACCCAGGGACAAGGGAGCAACAAGTGATCCAAAATTAGTGTCAAGGAGGGTGTGAGAGGCCTGCTGGGGATTCATCAAGGGCAATATAACCAAGAGAAATTACTGAAACCCAAATGAAGGCTGAGCATGATAGTGGGACAAGAGGAGCGTAAAAGGAAATAGATGAAAGAACTAGGAAGCAAAAGACATTTATAGAGGTCTGAATGTAGGCATGTACACATGTAAATATATTTACATACGATGATGGGGAAATAGAGCTACATGCATATATTTATAGATTTAGTATTAACGCAGCAGATGGACATTGGACCTCCACTCAAGTACTTACTCAATGCAAGAATACTTTGTTCTATTAAATTGGCATTCCATGATGCATACCTTCCCAACACAATCGCATAAGTAAATGTGGTAAAGAAAGCTGATGGTGCCTGGCTATCAAAAGATATAGCGCCTGGGGTCTTAAAGGCTTGCAGGTAAACAAGCAGCCATGTAGCTCAGAAGCAACAAAGCCCATATGAAAGAATCACACCAGCCTATGTGACCACAAGGTGTTGATAGGATCAGGTATCAGGCATCAAAGAACAAAAAATCTTATCATTGTGAATGAGGTGGAGTGCAGAGTGGAGACCCAAAGCCCATCTGTAGGTAACAGGACACCCCCTTACAGAAGGGTCGCAGGGAGGAGAGCAGGGCCGATCCAGTCAGCGTGCAGTGTAGCAACATTGAAACATACAACTTTCCTCTAATTCCTAAATGCTCCCTCCCCCACCACTATCATGATCCCAATTTTACCTTACAAATCTGGCTAGACCAGAGGATGTACACTGGTACAGATGGGAACTGGAAACACAGGGAATCCAGGACAGATGATCCCTTCAGGACCAGTGGTGAGAGTGGTGACATGAGGAGGGTGGAGGGAAGGTGGGGTAGAAAGGGGGAACCAATTATAAGGATCTACATATAACCTTCTCCCTGGGGGATGGACAACAGAAAAGTGGGTGAAAGGAGATGATGGAAAGTGTAAGACATGACAAAATAATAATAATTTATAAATTACCAAGGGTTCATTAGGGAGAGGGGAGTGGGGAGGGAGGGACAAAAATGAGGAGCTGATACCAAGGGCTTAAGTGGTGAGCAAATATTCTGAGAATGATGAGGGCACCGAATGTACAAATGTGCTTGACACAATTGATGTATGTGTGGATTGTGATAAGAATTTTATGAGCTCCCAATCCAATTTTTTTTAAAAACCCAACATGCTTTCATTCATCTAGCCATCCACCCAACTATATACTAAGTATATCCCTGTCTATGATAAAGAGATAACTAAGAATCATTCAATAGGTCTGTTGCGTTTTACAGGGTGACAAGATACATCAATTATAATCAACATAACCGATAAAAGTTTAACAAATGAAGCATGCACTCTTGTAGAAAATTTGGCCAATACAGAAAAGTTCAAAAATGGAAGCCATTCATAATTTTTCTGCTCAGAAAGAACTAACATAAACATTTTGATGTAGATCCATTATTTAATTTATAGGTATATGCATATGTGAAGGGCAATATGTGTGCATGTGTATCTAACATGAATGTTATAGTTAGCAGGCACACTGTTTTGTGAATGAGCAATTTGCAATGATTAAATAATCTTCTATACTAGTTATGCTGGACTAGGGCAGAAAATCTAATTCTTCCCATCCTAACATGTGGCTTTGAGAATCACCGAGTTAAGAAGAGAATCTCCTTCGGGAAGCATATCATCCTTGTAAAGAATATGTAGCCCTATGAAAGGCTGAAAAAGTCTGTCCCACATCATTATAATTTTAAGTAGCTGAATAGTATTCTACATAAGCACAGCCCATAATTTATTTAGCCCTGCCATATTGCTGAAAAGTTGGCACAAAGACATTTCTTAACATACTTGTGATGGGGTGAAGGGGTGACTTTCACTTCCATAGAGTCTAAATGATGTTGTAGCGCTTCAAGTAGACTGTGGGGTGCCTAAAAATAGAAGCAAGCAAGATTTATTTGCTGATAGTCCTTAGCACATCTGTACTTATAACAGAGTGTTTGAAAGCATCTCTTTTATCTATATGCCCCGGTAACACAAGGGTTAAGCACTTAGCTGCTGGCTGAAAGGTCAACCCTGCGAACCCTCTAGCCACTTGATAGGACAAAGATGTGGCCATCTGCTTTCAGAAAGAGTGCAGCCTCGGACATCCCTTAGGGCAGTTCTAACTCTGTCCTCTAGAGTCCACCTTTGAGTCGGAAGTGACTCCAAAGCAGTGAGTTTGGGTTTTGGAAGGGATAACAAATGCAAAATGTTTAGCCATTCGGTCACCCTCCTCCCACCACTTTCTGTCCAATAGTAGACAGGCCTGAGACTTGATGGTGTCGTGGGCTGTACATTGGGCTGCTGAACTGCCAGGCCAGTGGTTGGACCCCACCAGCTACTCTTCAGGAGGAGGTTGAGGCTTCCTACTCTTGTAAAGATTTTCACTCTCAGAAACCCACAAAGGCAGTTCTATTCTGCTCTCTGACTCAATAGCAGTGAGTTTGAGTTTTATAAGATCATCAATAACACTTAAGTACTCCTTAGGATAATCAACCATGCAACCTCAAAAGGGCAGCATTTGCCCAGGAACAAAGCTGACAAGAAGGTAGGAAAGGGCAGGGAAGGCGTATGGGATATAAAAAGATGTTTCCCAACTTTGTCTCCCCCAAAGATATGCCAAACATTAGAGGCTGTTTGCCAGCACATGGTGGGAGGGCAGATGCTTAGAGATGCTCTCCCTGAAGGCATTCAGCCATCAGACTACTGTCTGGTCCACAGTATGTGGGGCTCAAACCCTACTGATAAGGATAGTAATTGTTTCCATGGAGAGCCAGAGAACAGGTCAAGCTTGCTCAGTGACATCCAAAGTTAGGCTGCCATCCTGACTCTAGGATTTGCCGATCTTGTCACATGGATACCCCCAATCCCTTCCTTTCCTAGATTGTCATTACTATTACCTATAGTACAACCCCTTCCTGTGTCTTATATCTTTACCTGTACTTAGGGGGCTTGCACGCCCCCCAAAGGTATACAAGCCTTAGTTAGAAATAAAGAGCTCTCTCTCCCCTGGTTCCGGATCCCTCTCTCCCGGACCTCTCGCCTCCTCTCCTCTTCTTCTCCTTCCCCTCACCGTCTCTCCTGCCCTGTACCACCAAGAGGAGCTAAAGTAAGCATGCTACCATGAAATGTGTCTGACTCTGTGACTTCAGTCTCTCTTCTGTCTCTCTTATTCTCTATGACTTCACTATAATCTTTACATATTATCACTGTACAATTGCACCTACCAGCCTGTGATGATTTGTTAGGGGCTGGCTCCCCTGACAAAGGAGGAGGAATGGAAACAGGAAACCCTCTTGAGGATCACCAGGGCTTTGCGCATCTTTATAGGAGCAGATAAGCCCATCTTTCTCCTATGGAGCTCCTAGTGAGTTTGAATCACTAACCTCATCCAACACTGACCCAATACCAGGACTTCTTAACAGGAGTGAGAAACCAAACCAACTTGATGGCAGTAGGTTTTATTTTGCTTTGCTTGTATGTTGTTTGGGGATTTTGTTTTATTTTGTGATTCTTATTTGTCTTTCTGAAATCCGGACCACTTTATTTTTCATTTCACATAACTTTAAAATCTGATCTGATACCAACATATTACCTTGAATAATGAACTTCTATGCAGCAATCATTTAACTTTTTATTTCTGTATTCGGGTGACAGTTGACAGAGCAAATTGGCATTCCATTTAGAAATTCAAACACGTTTTGTTCTGTGACATTGATTGCAATCCTGACAACACAACAACTCTTTCCAACAAAAACAAACTCATTACCGATTCAATTCAATTCTGGTGCATAGCAACCCTAGGAGGAGCCCTGATGGTGCAGTGAGTTATGTGTTGGGCCAATCGCCACAAGGTCAGCAGTTTGAACCCACCAGCTGCTCCATGAGAGAAAGATGAGGCTTTCTGCTCCCAGAAGCATTACAGAGATAGTTCAGCTCTATCCTATAGAGCTACTTATCAGTTGGAATCTACTCAGTGGCAGTGCATTGAGTGGCCCTATATAGGGTTTCCAACAATCTTGTGGTCAGCAGCCCAACGCTTACTCGAAATCACCAGCAGGGGGAAGGCAAAAGAGGATGAACTGGGAGGCGAAGGAGATTTCCTCAGTCCAGAAGGAATCACTAAGACGAAGAGCCTCAAATCACATAAAATAGAACTTGCTGGAGGCACAAAGAGAAATTGTCCAGAGGAAAATCTCAACACGCCCTTTGTGGAATCTGGCCTCAGATTTTCAGGGGGAGGTGGGGGGATCTTGGAAACATTTTGTTGTCAGAGCAGACCTGTCCCGAGGAGACCCACAGAGTGTGGCAGAGGTGGGCCCCTGCCTCAACTCCCTCCCGTTAATCCTGCATGTCACTCCAGTCCAGGGTTTCCAGATACCCAGAAAGGCCAAGGCCTTGCAAATGTATTTGTGCTGGCTGAGGACCAGAGCACAGCTTTCTGATAAGGGAGCTCTTCCAGGAAAAGAGTTGATTTATGGTGGAATGACCTGGGGGTTTGCATTGACATTTACCAGCCTTCCGCCTTAGCCTCTCTTGCAGTTATCTACTTCCTTTCTGACCTAGGGGTCCTGAGGACCAGAGCTGAAGTGAGGGGAGGGCTGGCCCAATGGGAACCGCAGCCCTCTCCTGGAGGGCACCTCCAGTCTAAAGTCCCCTTAGAATTCTGGCCACAGGCGCTGAAGACTGAAGGAAGTTGATGAGTCAGTTAAAGTCCCCAGGACAGCAGAGTGGCTTTCAGGGACAGGTCCCTTTTCACCCTCACCGCCTCCCTTGAGAAAAACCGGAGCACTAAAATTTGGGACAGATCTAGTTATGATAGTTCTGTTCTTTAGGAACTCGGAGGCTGGGATTATGTCCCATCTGTTATAGCTCCTAATCTCCTCATAGGGGCCCAAGAATGTTTGTTAATGAATGCTGACTGGGCAGTGACCCCAGTCTTCTCTCCTATTAATCTTAGAGTTGTCGTTGTCTATTTCCACACAAAGGAGCCCTGGCGGCGGGGTGGAGTATACATTATGCTGCTAACTAAACACAAGGCCAGCAGCTCGGACCCACTAGCCACTCCAAGGGAGAAAGATGAGGCTTTCTGCTTGCCTATATATCTATAGCCTGGGAAACCCACAGGAACCGTACTACCCTAGCCTATAGGTCACTATGAGTCAGAATTGCATCGGTGGCAGTGACTTATGACTTGACTTTTCCTTTAGGGAGTCTTCCCTGCATGGCGACCTCCCACAGCCCTGATGACCAACAGCCGGGGGAGGCGAAAGCCGGCACTCATTTAATCCTCAGGATGCTTCCTTTTGGTACAAACGCACGCACGCACACAAAGAGGGCAAAGGGTGGGGGTTTCATACTGACAATAAACACAAACACAGAAAGACACAAACGGAGTTATCCACTGACCTTAGTAAGATGTGGAATGGCATCCTGGCTAACGCCAACTTGCTGAACTCACAAAAAAAAAAAAAAAAAAAGAGGGGTGGGGGGAGGAAACACATTACCAAAAGAAGTGGCAACAAAATAAATTGTGAGATAAAAGTGCCAGAGATTGAGGCTTTGGTGTTCTGGAAGGAGCTAAAATGCATTTTGGATATTTTTCAATTAGTCAGACCTCAGCCATGATTTCTCTTGTTCTCCACCTCATAGCGGGTGTGCAGCATTTGGGCTATGCCTTACCTACGGTCCTGCTCTATCTATTGTTCAGTGCATAGAAAGGCTGATTTCATACATACATATTCCTTCGGGTTTAGACTTGTTTCTGGTGGGAGGGTAAGTTCAGTACCAGTTATCCTCATAGCGACAAGCAAAGGTTGCCACTTTGAACAGAAGTGAATTGAATAGTACGCTGGAAGTCTGTCATGTTCCTTTTACTGTTCTGCAAAGCCTTTAAAACAACTGCAGATTCTTGTGTGCTTGTGTTGTGGTGCTAGTGGGATGAGTGGTGTGAACTGGACGGAAAGGGATCTCTGTACCTGTGCAACCTCCAGGAATTCGGCCAGCTTGCTCTTTCTTCCAAGAAATTTGATGTAAATATCCAGGCTTTCTTTGCATTGATTCCTCCTCATGTCAAAATACTTGTCTAAAAACAAGAGGGGGAAATGTCCATGAAAGTGTGAGTATCTTAGCACTAGTCATGTTTCACTCTCATCTGAATCTGGATGAGATTTTCACTTGCTTGGAACCATTAGAACTCATTTTAATCCTGTTCTTTTCTGTCGACAAGAAGTAACTGCTAAATTCACACAATTACTATGTTCCTATGGAGTAACTACCTATGGAATTTAATAATACATACAACTAGCTTACATTTTAATTTCTATAATCTAGTTCATAGTTACTTTTGATTAACATGAAACTCTGAAGCTCTCTCAGAGAAGGAGCTGTGTTTTCTACTGGTTTCTACCCCACATGTGCAATCTGTAATTCAGTATACTAAAAAGGTCTCCGATTCCCATCACTAACGTGTGCCAAACCTATCTTGTGAAATGAAGCATCCATTAGGACATTATGATAGAAATTTCCTGAAAAGACTAAGAAATACAAATTTATATATATAAATATACACAAAGCCTACTGGCATGGAGTCGATTCTGACTAAGCAATCCTATATATCAAACTTGATCTACTGCTCCCTTTTCAGAAAAAAAAAATTATTCAGCACTCCCCTGGAAATGACAGATTTTTATATTATAGCCCATAATCCAGGATAAGGTATACAGTGAACCCTCGCCACTTCGCGCTTCGACTTCCGCGGCTTCACTCTATCGCGGTTTTTGCGTAACAGCGCATGCTCTGTCATTACTGCCACTGATTGGCTCATACTGTACACGCTTGATGCCATAAATAATATTATAAATAATAAATGATAATTGTAACGTCCAAAATGTTTTAGTGTATTTTCCCTTTTTCGTTTAATAAATTGGGTAATACGAGTGTAATGGTGACTAAAGGGTGTTTTTTCATGTCCTCTATGCTCTAACTACGAAAATATTTGATTTACAAATAAGGAATCCTACTTCGCGGAATTTCATTTATCACAGTAGGGTCTAGAACCGATTAACCGCGATAAACGAGGGTTCACTGTAGGTATCTGCTTTTGCAGAACCCTTGTATCATTCTAGCGCTGCCTCACTCCCCACGCCAGGGAGTGGTATTGCCCACTTGGAAAACATTGCTATAGAGCAGCGGTTCTCAACCTGTGAGTGGCGACCCCTCTGGGGGTCAAGCGACCCTTTCACAGGGGTCGCTCGATTCAAAACCATGGCAAAATGACAGTGATGAAGTAGCAACGAAAATAATGTGATGGTTGGGGGCCCCACCGCATGAGGAACGGTCTGAAAGGGTCACAGCCCAAGGAAGGTAGAGAAGCACTGTGCTAGATGATCTCCAAGGAGCAGACAACCTCATCTTTCTCCCACAGAACAGCTGGTGGGTTGGAATGGTCAACCTTTCTGTTAGAAGTCCAATGTTTAACCCATAATGCCATCAGGACTTCTTATGTTTATATAGAATCAATAAAAAGTATCTATGATACAGGCTATACCTTCTTAGGAAAGCCAGAACTGTATTATTTGACTTTGGTGTAAGTAGTCCTTAATTGATATTATATAAATATGGCAAATCATGCTGTTTCCTTTGTGAATCTCCCAGAAATATCAGTTAGTATCTATGAGTATATGCCGAAAAGCAAAAGCAAAGAAAACAAACCCCAACCCACTGCCTATCATGCCAATTCTGATTTATGTGGCCCTATAGGACAGAATAGAACTGCCCCATAGGGTTTCCAAAGCTGTAAGTAATTATGGAAGCAGGCTGCCCCATCTTTTTCTTGTAGAACACGTAGCTGGTGGGTGTGAACTTTTCATTTCGCAGCCGAGCACTTAAACCATGTGCCACCAAGGCTACCAGCATCTATACAGAAATGGGAACATTTTGTGGCCCAGTAGCCAAATCATTTCTAACCAAGAAGCAAAATAATTTCGCACAATTTAAACACATACATGACCCTATATGGCTCTTTTATCCCGAGTTTAAAACAACTAGTAGTCTACAAGATTTTTATGTATAAATTATTTCTACCATTTTACTTTTTGAAAAGTCATGATTATTGTTTGGCTTACCTAGCAGATTAAGGATCCCATCGTTATAAACTTCAAAGAGCCGAAGAGAATCTTTAAAGAGGAGCATGAAAGCAGCACGGATTATGTCATTAGTTATTTCATCAGAATTTGCCTGAAAATGAAATACAGGAGTAGTCAACTGTCACCCATGTGATAGTTAGGTTTATCGTGCCAACCTGGCCAATAGGAACATGTGGGATTAATCAAGTGTCCTGGTTTTATTTCTCTAGCAAACCCTGCCTAACACACCACAGTTTAGAAAAATTCTTTCTACTCCCTACAATTAATATATTTGCCAATGTTTTTTAAAAGTACAAAGTTCTTACATTAAAATTAAGAAGTGCATCAAACTGGATCTGAATGACTGGAAGTGTGTTTAGTAGGTCTTTTGTATTCATGGTCCTCATTGTACCGTTTATTCTGTATGAGAGAAAAGAAATTGATAAGCAACTATAATTGAGTTTAAGGAGTACTGTGATTTCATCATCTTGAAACAGAGGTGTGCTTCTGACAAACATAAATATCAAACCATATATGTCTATTTCAGTACAAAGGAATATCTACTAACCCTTTCTTGGTTTTGGTGATGTCAAATGAAATCAGTCTACATGCGAGTGACTTCTCATTCAAGTATCTACTATATCGTCTGATGAAGATTGACATATTATAACCTAAAAATGAGATATTTTGTTATTTCCAGTTTAATACATTTAAATTATATTCAAAACCTTGATATTGTCCCTATGATGACTGTGGCATCCCTAAACAGAAGAACTCTCAAAACTGAACTCACTGCTAACCCTTTCAGGTTTCCAAAGCTGCTAATCTTTACAGAAGCAGAAAGCCTCATCTTTCTCCCCTGGAGCGGCTGGTTGGTTTGAACTGCTGATCATGTAGTTATCAGCTCACTACACCACCAGGGCTCCTTAGCACAAGAACCACTTGACCATGATCAGTTCTTCCACCATTTTAACAGAAACTACTGTAAATTCTCAGCACTCTCCTTACAGTCCTGATCCCACTGCCAACACCCCTTCCACTCAGTTAAGGATCTTGTCTCCTACTTCATAGGGAAAATGAAGAAGCTCTCCAATACACATCCCACAAATAGACCTTGATACATTTGCTGCATTCATTAAGTCACTCAGAAAGATGACTGAACCAGGCACTGCTCTAGAGAATGGAAGTTCAGCAGAGGCCCAAACAGACCAAAAATCCCTGCTCTCAAGGAGCTTGCATTCCAATAGGGTTTGACAGGCAATTAAGTAAAATGCAAAACAGAAGAGATTAGGTAATGTGAATAATACCTAGGCAAAGAATGAGCTGAACAAGGAAAGCCATTCTGAGTAAAGATCTGGAGGTGAAGTGGGGACACAGTGGATGGTGAAGGGGGAATACTCCTGAAGGAGGGGCAGCAAGTGCTAAGGCTTCTAGGTGGGAACATTAACCTGTTTGGGGCAGCAGAGTGCAAGTGAGATGCTGGGCTCCCTAGGTACCCCAGGTTGTCAGCTGGAACCCCATTGTGGTGATGACCTTGCCTTATTCAAACAGGCTGCTGCTTTAGCGATCTGCCAAACCAGATATCTTGTTAATGACTGTCCCTACCATGCAAACATTTGTACTAGCAATGAATCTAAGGGCCTTCATAAGATGTTCATTACACCATATCCTTCACAGCTTAGAACCAATGTTTTTTTTAAACCATACATGGTTTTCAAAACTTTTTCTTCCTTGCTCCGTATTCATGAGTTCATCAAAGATTCATCTTACCCTCTATGACATTTTGATCCAGGAAGTTCTGTAAAGTGAACAAGGAGCTTCTAGATGCGAGATGTTGGAGAAAGCGCTGTTGAACAAATGTAGCAAATTTGAAAATTAATTTTTGTGCACAAATTGAGGTCATTAATGATCCTGTTACCAGGGAATACATATTTAACAAGTCTATCTCTACAAATCTGTCTTGGAAGAAGTACAGCCAGAATGTTCCTTAGAGGTAAGGATGGTGAGACATCCTCTCCCGAAATTTGGACACGTGGTCAGTAGAGCCCAGTCCCTGAAGGACACCATGCTTGGTGAAGTAGAAGGGCAGCCCAAAAGAGGCAGCGCCTCCAGGAGATGGATTGACACAGTGGCTACAACAACAAGGGGCTCGAGCAGAACAATGATCTGGTAATTCAACTCTCTTGGCTAAATAACCCCCCAATAACCCAGGGGTTAAAGGTCATACTATTTCACCAAGCCAGACTTTCCATTTAACAATTTCCCCACTTCTTGTCTTCCAAAACTTTAACTTACAGAAAATTATAAGGAATAATAAGATATCTCCGTGTACCTCACTGTCCAGAAATGACAACTGTTGACGTTTTGATAAGTTTGCTTCAAGTTTGCTTTTTGGTTTTTCTTTTTTAAGGGTGGCAGACACGGGTACTTTTTAAAATAAGTACAAAGTGAAAGTGCTCTTTGTGCCATCCCTAAGTTGCAGCTCCTTCTTCTCCTACCAAACACCAGTCTCATATGTTATATTTCCAGCCTATTTTCTTCTTCCTTGCACACATATCTGTCCTATGGACAAAGACTAACTGTACACTTTGTAAATTAACTTAAATGTCATGCTTCAACCTGCTTTCTCAACAACATTCTGGAGATCTAACCATGTGGAAACACCAAGAGAACAGAAACTGACTGCCCCCGAGCCAATCTCCTTTCATCTTACAAGCACATCTCATTCTAACTCTCTGCTCCCCACTGATTTCTAGATTTGTATGATGATAAACATCTTGTGAGAAGTGGGTTTTCTGGGTCACTGGGCTGGGCATTTTCAATTTTACTAAATGTGTCTCAATGCTCATTTTTTTTTTGTCAAGTTATTTTAAAACGTGGTTTTTAGCACTTTGGTATATCATCCATGAGGACTTTACTTTTTGTATGTGGTATAAGGATCCCATCCTATCGTTTCTTAGGGATGCCGAGCCTCCATATAGAGTTCTAGTTCTGAGTTCTCCATTATATTCTGTTCATATTTATGTTCTATTTTTACCAATACCATACAAACTATAGTTACTGTTACTTTATAAGTTTCAAAATCAGGCAACAGCCCAACATTAATTTTTTAATTCCGGTTCCTGAAACCAAATGTGTATGTAAAGTTGAAAATCAGAATGTGTTAGATAGCATTGCACTTCTGCACGTGGGAAGAAGTGTGCCGGCCCCTGGCAAAGGGAAGCCATCTGCAGTGAGGCAGCATCATTGAGTTGCTGTTGTCCCTGTTCTAAATCAGCTAAAAAGACCTGAGGAAATGTGTGGCTGTGCACACAAACAGAAGGACGAAAGCTCACTAATACACATATCGTTCATGGCCCCAATCTGTCACCAATGGAAGCCCACGGTAGTCAGCTCTTGACAAGCCAAACTCATGTTGTAATTGAGTGCTCTCAGTTCTTTGCACTACCAAGATAAAAAAGACTACCAAGCCAGACAGACATCATGCTCACTCACCTCATTTCCATGCACGGTGAGATGGTGCACAGTAACCAGGGCTTTAAACACCACCACCCAGTTGCTGCTCTTAGTTTGTGCCGAAAGAATATCAGCTATGCGTACAACACTCAAGTTTGTTTCATTTATGTACTGTACCAGATCTAAATTAGAGACAGTGAAGAACGTTAAATGCAGACTGAGAAACAATTTTCAAAGTCAATACTGACTGGTAACTGTCACTTAACCACAGATGCAAATACAATCCCAGGAAAATGACAAAATACGTAAATCTAAATGATATTCATTACACTTAGTAAAATTCATAGCAATAGCTGCTGCCTGAAAGGAGATCCAGCAGGGAAGCACTGGGTGATAACCAAAACCCGACCAACAGCCACTTGGTGGGAAAGCGACGTTGCAGTCTAAGTCCTTAGAGATGTCCAGCTGGGGAACCCTGTGGGGCACTTCTACGCTGTCCTATAATGTCACGGTGAGTTTCAATTAATGACAACAGGTTCGGGGTTGTGTGGGTTTTAGGGTAGGGAGACGCTAGAGGATTCTATCCACTTGCTGAGGCCAGGTCTGATACCCTTTGCTCACCAGTGTCTCCCCAAGACCTAGCAGAGAAGCTGACATACAGCGGACAGTGGTCATCGACTGTGAAATAAGCAGTAAGGACTCCAAAAGGTCAGTAATGTGCCGAAGGTCATACAGGTAATTAAGTGGCATGGTGGGCATTTGAAACCAGATGGATCTTTCAGGCAAAGCCTTTTTCGATGAAGGTTCAGTCAGTAGCTGTCCTTGTAGTGTCGGCCCCTCTCTGATCCCTCCTTAACGACTCCCTGCTTCCTCTTCACAAAGTCACTTCCCATAGCTTTATACCTGGCCTATTGTAATAGCTTTATATTTCCCTGCCTCGGGCTATAAAAACGAAACCCACTGCCATCTAGTGGCTAGACTCTAACAGCGACCCCATCTAAGGTTTCTGAGGCTATAAATCTTTACAGGAGCAAGCAGCTTCATCTTCCCACCCATGAGGCAACTGGTAAGTTTTAATCACCGACTTGCAGTTAGCAGTCCAACCTTTACCCGACACCATCACCCATGTATTAATTTACTTCATAAAAAAGCAACAAAGCTCATTGCCACGAAGTCTATTTTAACTCCTAGAGACGTTGCAGGATGAAGTCGAACTATCCTTGGGGTTCTGAGGTTATAACTCTTTTTTAAATCATTTTATTCGGGTAGTGTACAACTCTTATCACAATCCATACGTACATCAATTGTGTTAAGCACATTTGTACATTTGTTGCCATCATCATTCTGTAAACATTTGCTTGGTATCAGCTCCTAATTTTTCCCCTGCCTCCTTGCTCCCCCCTCCCTCATGAACCCTTGATAATTTATAAATTTTTATTTTGTCATGTCTTACACTGTCCAACATCTCCCTTCACCCACTTTTCTATTGTCTGTCCCCCTGGGAGGGGGTTATATGTAGATCCTTGTAATTTGTCCCCCCTTTCTACCCCACCTTCCCTCCACCCTCC